TATTATATGTATGTGTGAGTGTGTGTGCACGCACGCTCTTGTTGGTCATTGAGAATTTCTGGGGTTCCTATGAGATGATGACTTGTAGGTGGTACTTGGATGCTTTGGTTGGATTAGGGGTGGTACTTGGTACAAAAAGTTTGAGAACCACTGGTCTAGGACATCACACTTGTTCAGCAATGTTCAACATTTAAAACAATGTTTTTCAGTAAGAATGTACTATTATAGTCACCTCAAAGAGACAACATTTATTCCAATAATTATTTATATACTATAAGTGGTAATAAATTAATAGATGGCAAAATACATCTTCCAGTGTTTCCTCATCACAGTGCTCAGTGTAAGACTGGTTCCTGCTATGAGATCAGCACTGGTCTCTGGCCTACACCATTTCATTAGGGAAACAGTACATTATTCAACACAATTATAGTACTGTACATTGTCAAATACAATTAAACTAATGCAGACATGAGATACAGCAGTACTTATTGTCTCAGAGAATAAAAAAATATACATAAGCATAAGTAAATAAAACCCATTTATTTTTCGGTTTTCTTTTTTTACTAGCAATGCTGAACTGATGGGTGTCTCTGTCACAGGTCCAGTGTCAAAGCCTGAGGTCAGAAAGACCCCAGCAGGAAGAGCCCTGGTCACACAGAATTGCTCCCTGCTGTGCTCGGTGCAGAATGGCAGAGAGGTGACCCTGTCCTGGTACAGAGAGGGGGAGGAGAAGCCCCTGTCCAACACCAGCTCCCTCAATCTAAACAGCACCCTGACTCTCCCTCTGGAGACAGATGGACAATACAATAATACCTACAGCTGTGTGGCCTCTAACCCTGTCAGTGTCCAGACAACCAGAGTCAAGCCTGAGACTTACTGCCCTGGTAACGTTATAGAAAGCTACTATTCAAACATTTTTAAGACAGTCTTGAGTTGGAGTAGTTTGTCGCTTTGGTAAATGGGTCAAAGGAAGAATTAGACAGATGGACAGAGATTTGTAACCTGTTAGCTCTCAAAAGTCAGAAATATGTCCCTGGTGTTTGGAATATAGAGGCAGAGATTGATATGTGGAATACGAATACAGGATGAAAGTCTATGACTGGAATCAGAAACCCAAGATTAGATTGCAGACCTGGGATTAGATTAGACTGCAGCCTGTGAGCTAAGGTTAGGATCCCGGTATGGGGCTGTATTAGAGTATTGGACCAGAGCTGCAGGGTCAGTACTGTATTACCAGAGTGAAGGTGGCTCACCAAGGTTTACTGTTTTACAGGCTCTGACGCAGAAGCGAGATTCAGAAACAGAGCTTGGGTTCTGGTGTCTTGTGCTCTCCTGCTCTGCCTAACCCTAATGACAGCTCTCTTCATTCTTATGTGCAAGAAAAGGAGAGACGAGCGGCAGAGTGAAGGTAAGAAAGTTACAAGCATGTCAATGAGCTTAACAGTGAGAGACAGAGCACCGTCTGTGGTGATACTGTGGTGACTGTAGAGCACAAGAGCTTCACACCAGGAGCACAGACTGGAACACAGTGACCCTCAGCTTCAACCACAACAGAACGATGATACAAGAGTATAGTGCTGTGTAGACAACTACAGTGAAAAGTGTAGAACTGTGTAGGTTTTGTGTAGCAGTTGTCAGACCGTTGTTGCTGTGTGAGTAAGAGGTACACTAGACTGGTCCTTTGGTCAGACTGTACTGTAATCGGTGCAATGAAAATGGTTTTTGGTTTGAGTTTTTGGAAGGGAGTTCTTAAATATAATCAGAGATCACATTGTCTGCTAAATATACTACACACCAGTGTTTAGAGAATACAGATCCTTAGCCACAGAGCCACTGCGCCGCCCCAGAGCACCAGGCTTTAGTGAGAGATCTCACAGCTGCAGGTGCTCTGAGGGTATTTAAACCCTGCTCAGTCTCTCCTCGGTGAGCCGGCATTGACGTTCATCGCCACACTGCTGAGCCACCTTATGACGTCCCAGCGGAGCCCTGCTTGTTCCTGGTTGATACTGCTCTTGGGCTCTGTCAGGCTGTGCTGTCCGGGGGCTGAGTGTGGACTGGAGTTCGGGACCCTGCTGTGGACCCGGACCTCAGCTGCACCTTGAGGTTGAACACCCCTGCTGGGAGTTTCCTGCCCGGCTTCAGTGCCAGACTCCTCTGCCCCTCACCGCGGCCTGGAATGATGCAGAGCTCCGACTCCTGGCGTCTCCCCCTGCCCGGCCCCCCTTCACTGATTACCAGTCCCTCAGCCCACCTGCATCCAGCATCCTGGGCGATCCCGGCGGAATTTCCTTCACCCAGAGGCGGCCCTGGCTCGTGAAGCTCGTGGGTTTCCTGGACAGTCTATGTGCCAGCCTGTCTCGTGCCCGGGTGCTGTGAGCTGGCCACTCCCCCTGCACTGTAGGGCCCCTGCTCTTGGGTCCATTACATCATGCGGGGTCAGCCCCGGTGACCTGGGGGCGCTGCCTGGTTGTAACAAACACATCACACAACACACACCATACGTTACAACATTTGCAAAACAAGGTCTCACAGGCCTAAGCTCTATAGTCCCAGAAACCCAGACTGCTAGGTTTGTAACCTGAAATCCTATATAACATCTAAACAGACCAATAAGAGGAACACTCGGCGTCCCAATCTAACAGAGTCCAACCCAGTGCCAAATCTATAATCCTGAGTGTCCCAGAGTGATAGGGACTCAGTATAACAATTCTACAAATGTATCACCAAATTCAAGACCAGAACAAGGTCCACTCACCTGGTATTTTTGTTTCCTTGCGTAATTCTCTCTCTCTTCATCTCTTTTCTCTGACCTTTCTCTTTCCTGTGTCTTTATATGATGTCTTCCTGTCTGCTAAATGTTCTTCTTCAGTTTTGAGTAACTAGAGTAGAAGGTTTCTTTTGATCCTCTGTCTCTTGCAGCTCACCCACAGCTGGGTAAATAGCTCACTTTCCACCTAGTTTCTACCTATAGTTCTTTTTTACTTTTATGACCCCTCGTAACAATATTATCACAACTATTCTGACAAATAAATGACAAAAGCATCTTTTAGTGCCTTATTTCTTACCTGAAGGCCAGTGTCTCCTATAGAGATTATGAAAGTGAAGTGCTGACTGCCACTGTGACTCAAATCAGTTCAGTGAGCTTTATTGGCATAACTGATCAATCAACACAACATTTACAATACAAACGCATCATAGGATATTTATGTAAAAAATACATCACATAAAACTTTATTGAGGGATGAATCTCTGTCTGTTCCTCAGGCTGGGACAGGAGATCACACACTGTATTTTTATTATTGAGAGACAGGCTCACTGTCTGTTCCTCAGGCTGGGACAGGAGATCACACACTGTATTATTTTTATTGAGAGACGGGTTCTCTTTCTGTTCCTCAGGTTGTGACATACAGCACTGCGGCTCAGTTGAGTTTCCTCCATCTGGTAGGATTGGAAGTTGTTATGATTCTGGTAGGTATGAGAATTCTGGAATTATATATTTTTTTTATTTTAGGGAAGAATGATTAATTAATCCCAGAGGATTTTGCACAGTTGAACTGGCAGCAGAAAGTGCATCTCTGTCTCTGCATCTCCCTGCTGGCAGAGGGAGCACAGCCTGTCCTCTTTGGGCAGCCAGATCTACCTGTGGCGCCCAGTTTCTATGGCCAAATTATGATCACTGATCCTGTACTTTGTCAGGATCTGTTTCTCTTTGCTGTCTTTCACCTTGGTCAGATACACAGCTATGTGTCCTGTCTATTTGCATATGTCTCGATTGACTCTGTCTCTCCCTGTATTTTAAAGGTCGCTCTTTCCCTGGTGTTGGGAGCTCTTGCTCTTTGTCTGACAGTGACGTTCAGTATGTTAATGTTCAAGTCGGGCAGAAACCGTCAGAAGCCCAGCAGGTCAGTGCCGTTCTGTTTCCTCACCTC